GTTCTGTTGTAATTCATCTTCTCAACCTAAACAGTGGCATGGTGGCATGGTAGTTCAGTAGTTAAGATGCCAGGCTTTTCATCTGGAAAGCTGGCAGCCCAGGTTTCAGACCAAAGCACCACATGATGGGGTGAGCTCAACAACTGCCAATCTAGCAGCTCAAAAGCATTCAAATGCAAGTAGATAAATAGGTACCACTTTGGTGGGAAGGTAACGGTGCTGTGTGACATCATGCTGGCCACATGACCACAGAAATGTCTTTGGACAATGCTGGCTCAATGGCCTTGAAAAAGAGTTGAACAATGCCCTCAGCAACAACTAGTGGAGTAAAATCCACAGGTATAGAGGTATAAGACAAGTATAAAGGACATTTTTTTATAAATAAGATTTTGACATTAACCAAGGAAATCATTCTAGAAAGCTAACACAAAGGGGAAAAAAAGGCAAAAGAAGCTTGATCTTTTTGATATTAATAATATTTGCTGCAATATATCTCTGGTTTCAGCACATTTCTTCAATATTTAGGTTTGTGAAGTGAGAGACTATATAAATATGGTAAATAAATAAATTCTGCAAGAGATATGAGAGAGAAGTCTGCAACAGAGAACAAAAAACTAGTGCCCATTACAAGGAACATCAACAGCCAAGTACTGAAATGACTAATAATTATTTTAATGATACATTTTATGATTACAGTACAAATACACAATTTGCATATGCAATTAGGATACCTAGTTTCAAGGACATAGACTGAACTGTCGTATTATCTCAAACACCAGCATACTCAGTTCTTAATATTTTTGATCAAGAGCTAAAGAAAAGTTACCAGATCTGAAAGCAAAGCAATTCTCACACATGATGCCAATATCTTTATTGTGTAGGTCTGATGCATTACATTGTCTGTGTGTTTCAGAATGTATGATAAATGTTGTGACATTGGTTCTTTTAAAAGATATCCTGAGTTGTAGAATTACTTCTAAAGTAAATACAATTGATTTGTATTTGGGAAGAGAGATACTATAGCTTTTCAGAGCCATAACTACATATGAATTAAAGTAGACTTGACTACACTATTCTTGATATCTAGGAAAGCTGCTTCTATTTTTCAGGGAAAATTGATTTGTTTTGTAAGAATAAAAATTGTGATCCATATTTGCAAAATAATATTGTGCTATTGTGTCATTACATTGCCTGTTTCCTAGGCTCAATTGAACAAATAACTTTGCTTCATTGTCCTGATATATTTTAGAAAGTTAAAAAAACACTATGATTCAACTACTAGTTGAATATTCTGCACTGTGCTATTCCTAGAGAAAATTGGCAGTTGGCAGGTAAAAAGATAGGGAATAGTAAAATAGTAAAGCTACAAAACAGACTATATGTCAGCTCTTTTTATCTCTAATATGGGGAAAAGGATGGGGAAAATTCCAAACTATGCATTTCATTTATCTTCTTTGTCACCCATACGTATCCAACAGTATCTGAATTGTTTTTGGACAGGGATTATACATAGCACCAATTCTATTTTTCTGCTATTTTCTGCAAAGATTTGATTTAGATTTAAATCAAATATAAAACTGTAATTATAATTTACAGAAATAGTTCAATCTTCAAATAAAAAGCCCACATCTAATTCCTTCTCACCCTTTTCCACATCCTGTTTAACTTCTTTCTCTTCCCTTCCTTTCCCTTCTTACATACTCAAAGGAATAATGGATCACTACTAAAAATCTGAGTTTGTTGCTTGAAATTAACAACGAAATTAAATGAAGAGCTCTTTGCGAACCTAAACTGCTGAGTTGCTTACAAGTGATTTAATTCATCCTTTGTCCCTCTGCATCATTTTGCACATATTATGCATTCATGTGTATTTTATGAAAGAGAGTGCACATACTGATGCATGCATGTATTCTTGTTGAAGATATGACTATATATCTGACTATATATGTGAACATTCTCAGGATTCACATTCTGGGGCATGGAGAAAGATTTTAAGAGTTATTTCAGAAGCCCTAGAGATTTGGCAGCAATTTAACTTCTTAATTTTTAGAGTCCACTTGCCTGAAGAATAATAAAAGTTATATGGTACTCAAGCCACTTCCTGTCACTGTCATGAGAAAACAGATTGTAGTTCTAGATTGGATCAAGAGTTACTGAAGGAGAAGTTCCCAAAGCTATTGGCAGATGTTTTCTGCAAAAGAGAGAGGTGATAGAAACATGCTGCTCTTAATAGTTAATTAACAATCTGATTGTTAACAGTCAGTTCATAATCTGATAAGCAATGAATCCTGGAAGGTGAAGCATAAATAACAAAGATTGGCTCCCAGCCACTTCACTCCACTCAAGGAGAACTGAAGCATTACTAAGGATGCAAGTCTCCAACTTTTTCCAACAGTTAAGAATTAGATTTATGATTGAATAAGCTTAGAAGAAGTTAAATTGATAACTTTGATCTTTTCTTAACCATCTTTTTTTTTTCCAAAAGGTTGAATTTTATTTTTGTAAGCAATAGCTCCTGTGGCTTCTTTGATTATTCCAATAAAAAGTGCCAGAAATAGAGTGGAAAAATGAGTATTTAAATAACATCATTAACAATATCATTAAAAACTAGCTATTACTGAACAGGTGCAAAATTGTTAAATTGATGCTAATAACAGTAACAGTGAATGTTAACACCTATCTAACTAATATGCTTTCACTGTGGGTGCTATTTGGGGAACTGAGATCCCTGTGAGTGCACGAAAATGAATCTGTGTTGATAGAAGAATAACTGCTAACAAAGATTATCAATTAAAATGAAGCCAGCATTTATCTCTAATCAGTAAAAGCCCTCTCTATGAAAAATGGAACTGGGGGGGGTGAGAGCACAGACCACAGTATCTAACATATCATTAAGTCAAAACATTGTTCCATATTTTAGCTTCAAGCTAATTATTATCCTGACTGTCTTTTAATCCTTCTAAGATCTTATCCAATTACAACAAGATCGTAGATATGTTTTTAGAAGACAGAAAATATTAACCCCAAACTGTTACTGCCTTCAAAAAACATTTTTCTTTTAATTTTAAAATGCTCTATTATCTAGTTCTTAAGCATAATACTTCTTTGCTGCGGGAAGTGTTTCTTTTAGTTAAAATGCTGCTTTTTTTTTTTTTTGCATTCCAGCACAAAATATTCAAGGAAGCCAACAAAAAGAAAATAAGAAAAACAGATATCTAACACAATAAAACATCAACATCTCCCTATGCCAGGTCCTTGGGAAGAACTCAATAAGTGGATAAAAATGACAAATCCAATCAGAAAATCTGGCTGACTGTGCGATGAAAATAATATTATTTATTATAATTCTATTTTAATTAATATTACAATGGTACATTTGTTATCCTAGATCCTTGGGAAGGATATGATAATAAAAAGTATAAAAATATATAAAACATAATCAGAAATTCTGTTTTGGGGTACTCTTGAAAAGCTGCATCTTTGTATATCCCACCACATTCCTGGGCATTTTGGGAGTTTAAAATGAAATCTGGTTTTCTATTAATGGAGGTGAGGATTGAATCATAAACTTCAAAACAATTAGCTGAGACAGCAAAAATGCAATATATTACTGTACTCAATATCTTGAGAAACAGCATAAAACAACATTTATTACAATTTGATAGAAGGTGTCATGAATATAATCATGAGAATGACCATTAATTTGCCGTCTGTTGTATTTGCAACAGATTATTTTCTATATTTGTTATATGTGCTTACAATATGCATAAATATAAATATTTAATCTGTGTTTTTATGTTGGCAGTTTAATAGCTGTAATAATGTCACGTTGAAAATGTTCACAGAATCATAGGCCGATATTGCTATCCTGTAAAAGCTTATTCAGTAAGGAGAACTTTACGGAATAGTTTGGGAATCGTTTGACAATAAACATGCCTAGGACTGACAGGTTAAACATTTATTAAAACCCAGAACCACTTCCATTAGCACTTAAAACTTAGAAAGGAAACAACAAATAATTATCCTCCAATGGTTCTGTCTCCGATAGCTCTCTTCTGAAAGTTACTTCAAAGTAAAGTGACAGTGAGTAAGAACTTTGCAGGTGACAGCTGAACAAACAGGATATAATTTCCAGAAAACCGGCATTATAAAGTATAATTTTATTGCCATTGGATTTTTCAACCAACTAACAATAAACTGTGCTAAGCGTTACATGGGCCATTCACAGTTTGGAAAACCTTAATACTGCTAATGCTTGTTTCTTATGAGCCGTAATGGCATCACAACACACTGCCTGAATTGTATGTACTAGCCTGGGCAGTTGCACAAGCCGTAAGAAATGCATAATTTCAGAAACAAACTACATGATACAGCGGTTCACATTCTGAAAATGATTCAGAAAAAATGCTTTAGATTTTGTAGGAACACAGCACCCAACAGCACCCCTGTCTCCCCCGCACCCCCCGCATGCTTTACAAGTTTGTGCTTCTGAGTGAGCCTGAAAAGAATGGATGCTGTTGCTTTAAGAGATTCTTTAATTCTAGTCAGTGGCAGATTAAGGCTCACTGGTGCCCTAAGCACTGACAAATCTCGGTGCCCCCCCTTCCTTTGTACATACTGTACAAACGAAGCCAAACTTAGACTACATAAATGTTTTTGTGGTGCCCCTTTTGGGCCTGGTGCCCTAAGCACGTGCTTAGTCTGCTTAATGGTTAATACACTACTGATTCCAGTGAATTAATCCCTGAAACAACAGTATCCTCCCCCCCCCCCCCCCAGATTTGCATGGAACTTTAAAAAGTCTGCTTTAAAAACAGATAACTGTTGTGCTTCTACTTGGGCAGGATTCAAAGCATTTCTTCCCAATGACTTGCAGAAGTGTCCAATATTGCCCATACAACCTTCATACATCTACATTTAGGGTTGTCCCATATGAGGCTTGATGTAATTACAAAGCAGTCAAAAGGAGAATAAGTTATCAAACAAAGCTAGTGTCTCACCATAGCAACCACTGTTGTCATCTGCATCTATGCCAGGTCCAGTGAATCCTGGGCTACAGTAACAGCCATGGATTCCATTGCGAACTTCACATTTTGCATGCTTGTGACATGGGTTGGTACAGTTCTGGAGGCTATAGCAACTATCCAGCAGGGTGGCAAGAAACACTACAGGGAATGAAAAGCAACACAAAACTGGTGATGTTAAGAGTAAAACCACATGCTGAATTTTAAAACTAGCTGTATATTTTAATAAGTTTGGGACTTACTAGTATGAACCTGAGGCATCCTATTCCCAAATGCAAAATTACATTCAAATGACTAAACTTTTAAAAGCTCTGCTTAGAAATAGTTATATGTCCGAGTAAGCATTTGAAAATATTTTTGTTAGGAATATTTTATTGTCTCTGTCATATTTGATGTTGCTGTTTTTTCCATGCTATCATAAAAATTCTTTCCTTTATTTTATATATACATGTGTGTATATGTGTATGTGTATTTATACATACACAATATACACACATCTCTCCACACTTACATATACAAATATATGCACATGTTTGCTTGTGGGTATTAATATAAAGAAAAAAAAGAATGAACAGATGAACAGTCTGATTAGAAGCAGTCAAAATCACATACAGTAGGATTTACTCCCAGTTTTTTTTTTTTTTTAAAAAAACTATTGCCTAATGATCAAGAAGTGCTTGGGTAAAACCAATTTGTACAGGAGAGAACATTCACCTATATACTGCTTTTCTGGATCACAGTCCTAATATACAAGTCTAAGATCAATTGCTTCATGAAAATCAGAAGCTACTTTCTTGAATAAGGATGACCAGAACTATAATAATAGATATATTTTAAAGGTTATGATTAAATAACTGTGTAAATTTAACATTGAACTGGTTCATATCCTCTGTGGAATTATTATACATTATTAATATTCTCTCATGCAAAGAACACATTAAAAAAAAAACAAATCTGGCCATTTATAAACAAATAAATCTTTGGCTGTATTTTATTACAATACAATTTCTCCAGGTTCAATGATAATGAATCCTTAAAGATTCTTGCATGCCATTTCTTACAGATGATAAATATCTGTTGCACTTGTTAAATGTAGCAACTACCCTAAAGGGATTTCTGAATTGTTAAAAGAACCTTGTTTCTTTCCTAACTCTAATTTAGTCTTAATCTTTATTTAGAACAGGAAATCACCTACCTAAAATGAAGAGAAGCTTCATGGATGGTGCTTCTATAAAGTGTCCAGTTTCAAGTTCCGTCGTTACAAATGAAGGAATCTTGTTGGTTGTTGTATGCTCATGCGCCCAATATCCACACATGCCAACAGAGGACAAAATCCTTGCAAAGTTATTGATCTTACGATGTATCCTTAGATATGCTCTTCCAGATCTTTTAGGTCAAATGGTGAATTACAAGTTGTGAGATAAAAGGAAAGAGTTATATAGAAAAGCTAACAGAAAAGATGGGAATGTCAAGATCAGCATGGAAGATAAGTACAGATGTTGAGATATTAAAAGCTGTGGAAGAAGTTTGTAAACCAAATGTGGCCTTGGAAGGCTATGGAGAACAGATCAAAGGTAAAAGGGGCAAACCAGGTTCTAGCTTATTATCTCTCTTTGTTGAAGGCAATTGAGCATATCAAAACTCTAGTATCCCAAAAGTTTGTGAAGTCTGACGGCTTCTGTCTTGTTGATGGCTTTTCTTCAGTATCCAAAATATCCCAGCTGCTATATAAATTTTTATCACTTTAAGAGCAGCAGTATAAGAAGGAGGTACAGGAAATCCACTAAGATTTCCTTTGTGTAGAAAACAAAGATGTAAAGCTCTGGAAGGAAGTAGGCAGGAAACTGAATGTGCAGCAAAGAATTTCGGGGTCAGAAGGGAAACCTATGCAGGGAGATATAAGTAAAAACTCTAAAGGAGGTGACATCACAATAATTAAGGGATAAAAGGGTCAATAAAAGGAATTATACTATGAAGCAGGAAAGTGGGAAACAAGAATTTTGTTAGACCAAACAAAGAATGGTGAAAAAAAATGCATTTCTTTATCTCTGATGTGTTATTTCCTGCTAGAATTTATTTTTTATTTATTTATTTGATTTGCCAATTGTTTACAAGATAATAAGTATAAGTGTATACATAGTTGTGAATACATGAAATGGGTACATATAAGAAAAATAAAAGAAGAATAAGAGAAACAATAGGACAGGGACGGTAGGCACGTTGGTGCGCTTATGCATGCCCCCTACAGACCTCTTAGGAAAGGGGTGAGGTCAATAGTAGACAGTCTAAGGTTAAAGTTTTTGGGGTTTGGGGAAGAAACTACAGAGTCGGGTAGAGTATTCCAGACATTGACCACTCTATTGCTGAAGTCGTATTTCCTGCAATCAAGTTTGGTGCGGTTAACTTTGAGTTTGTATCTATTGTGTGCTCTTGTGTTGTTATGGTTGAAGCTGAAGTATTCATTGACAGGTAGGACATTGCAATGTATGATTTTATATACCATGCTTAAATCAGACCGAAGACGGCGTAATTCAAGGTTTTCTAGTTCTAGAATTTCAAGTCTGGTGGCATAAGGTATTCTACAACGAGTAGAGGAGTGGAGAACTCTTCTTGTGAAATATTTCTGGACTTTCTCAATTGTGCTAATATCAGATACGTAATGTGGGTTCCAGACTGATGAACTGTATTCGAGTATTGGTCTAGCAAATGTTTTGTATGCTCTGGTTAGTAGTGTGATATTACCAGAGAAAAAGCTACGTAGGATTAGTAGGATTACTAATAATCTACGTAGGATTAGAATCTATGCTCTGTGTGACTTCTTTGGAAGCTTGACATAAACCTCTTCCAACATGATGTACTGAAATGTCATTCTCTACATAAGGAACACCTCATCGTTTCTGTTATGGTATCATCTTCCAAGGCTTTGATTGAATGGAAGCTTGATTACAAATAAGATTTAGTGCTCAAGATTTCTTGAGAAAGTATTTCAATGTTTATCTGAAAACACTATATAATATTAATAATGAGGTGACTGCAGGCCTTCTGTGTGAAGGCAGATGGCTCTTTCTCCCAAAATAGACAATTGGGTGTAGTTTAAGCTAAACATAAAAACTGTGGGAAATCTTGCTCTGTACTCCTAAGCTGCCTCCCGTTTTACTTTGAACAAACTCTTCAAAAGAAATTAAATCCAGAAGTTCTTGGTCTGACAGAAGTGTCAACCATCACTTTTGTGATGCTCATGGAATAGGATCTTTTCCCTTTGGGGGGGAGGGGGCTATACACCATCCTTACTCCATCTTACTCCATCCTTGTGCTTCCCTACAAAAGAACTCTACAGAAAGGAAAACATTTTTTTCCTGTTGCCTATCACTCTCCTATTATGTTTTGTTCATTTAGGGATAGTGTACACAAGTACCAATAGCAATAAATAACAGCAGAAAGGCCGACAAGATATAGACAGAAGAATCTAATGATCTCACAGATGTCCAATAATTCTATTTTTTGATACCTACCCTGCCTAGACAATGACTGAATGAAATAAATGCCCAGACATATAAAACCATGTAATAGGATAGGATAATTTTCTAGTCTGGTGATGTTAGGAAAAATTCACTAAACTATACAATGGGTGCCAATATATATATTTTTTAAGATCAAAAACAGACCCATGGGTTCTTCCAACTTTTAAAGCTTTAAAATCTTCGTGCTAGTAGTGAGTAGCCTCCTGCCATAAATTCCAGTGAAAATGGATTCCCGAATTCACTCCCAATAGGACTGAGACTGATGGGGTTCTTTTCCCATCTTACTGTTTCTGTCTGGACAGTATTTCATTTTACAAGGGATTTATAAATAACTAGACTCTAAACTGTTTAAGAGCGACCTTCTTCAGCTTGTCCAGTTTTACACGAAAAAGTTACATCAAGCTATCAATCACTTTCTGGGTGAAGAGGTATTGTTATTTGCACATTTATCCAATGGACTGATTCCTCTGAAACTTGTCCTTTTTCACTGCTTGTTATCTTTAAAAATGTGTTCTATAATTCAGAGAAAAGGAGTATACATTTATATGTTTTTGCTTTAGAATATTTCCGAATATATTGAGGTGCTTCCTTCCTAGATGCATTTTTAGCAACTATTTATGTAGATGTAATGGGACTTTTCTAAGCACAAAAAAATGTCCAACCTTCCAATTTTACACTTTAAATGGAAAAGGACTTGGGTGGCTGTTCTTATTATTAAAGTCACCAGAATGTAATGGACACTTTTGCACAAAAGGCAAAATAATTCATTGCAAACACTAATAGCCAATCAGAATTTGGCCAGAAAGGAAGCAAAGATATTTCAGGAGATCACTGTTCAGGTATTGAGCAGAAAATGATATTAAAGCAAAATCCAGCTATTGCTCCAGCAGCAGTATTAATGCCTGTCAATGAGATTTCCCCATTTTCAATGTCCCCACAAAAAAAAAAAAAAAAAATCAAAAACAGATAGACAAAGACCAGAAATCAAGATGGGGAAAGTTCTGACTTTATGTTCACAAGAACTGCATTGAGTAAACATTGGCATAATCGGTCCCTATCATGCAGGAAAAAGGTCTTAGATTAATCTCTGCTTGATTCGGTTTGTAGTGTGTGCTATGAAGAGAAAGTTGTGTTCCTGAGGTTTTTTTCATCTATAACAAGTCTCACTTCATGTAACAAAGCAGGAAGAAGCATGTCTCTAGACCTATTCAATTTCTCTTTTAGTTAACATGCATACTCGCAACAGATCCCACCCTTTCTTTAATTTACTACTATCTTTCCACCCATATTTCCACATCCCCATCCATTTTGTCATTTTAGTAAATATGTTATTAAGGTGCACAAATTCATTTGCTGGCTCTAATTTGTTGCCATCTTGGATAATTAGAATTCTTCACTCCATTTCCCTTGTCATATTTTTCAGCTGTATTTCACCATCATTTATAAGACTGACAAAAAAGAAGAAGAAAGAAAACCACATAAAAAGTTCAGAGGTGGAAAGGAGGGAAAAAGAAGGAGTTTGATGGGGAGCTTAGATGAGCCAAGAAAGCAGGAATGAAAGGTGAAAAGCAGACAGGAGCAGGAAAGGGGTCAGCTCATAAGACTATTAAGGATAATACAAGAAGCTTACATCAGATGTAGCAGGCAACAGAGAACTGGCAGAGATGACAATTTAGGAATGTCACAGCACTATCTTAATGGAGGATTATTTTCACAACAGATTAGTGGCAAACCTGAATGTTGAGGGTATCAGCAGGAACCTGAAGAAAATGAGGTTGCAATAATCAAGGATGAACAGGATGATGGACTTGACAAGTTTTATATTTCTGTGGTGAGAATGAAGAGGAAATGGAAGATTTTAGAGACATTTGGGAGATAAAACCACCTGGATTTAGTGATCATATCTACCAGTATATGGGGATAAAGAGTCAAGTGACACCTGAGAAGGGACCATAGAGTACAGGAGAAAAACATGCTTTCAAAATCGGCTGTATTATCAAGGTTTTCTTATGACTCTTCCTGAGTGAAAAATCAGAAAATGTTAAGCTCTTCTCTATAATCAAATAGAGCAAATAAGCACAAAAATGCCAAATCTGCATTTTGTTAAATATGTAAAAGACATTCTAATCATCACTTCGGCCAGCAGTAAATTTGAAAGTCTGCATTCCAACTTCACAGTGACACAAATTCTAGTGTCAAACAAAATTGACTAGTGTTTGCCTTTTCTCAATCAATAATCTGTAAAAAAAAAAAAAAAAAGTGCCAGAGAGAAAGTGTGCTAGTGGAAGTTATATGCAGTAACATTTGCATTTAAAAAGTCTGCATAAGGAAAATGTCAAAGTATAGAAGCTGGGTGAATCGCATTAAAAATCTTTCTTGAGCAATTTATTGCAACTGTTACATAAATTATGGGCTGATACAGGAAAGGCTTCATATGTTATGGAATATTGCATATGTAAACTTAAACTTAAATGTAAGGTGTTTTTGGCTGAGGACAGAACAATTAGAAGGATTTGTTGTGGGGGGAAGTGTCAAAAAAGTCCAGATGGCAGTTGTGACCAGACAAATAAAAACTTGCCCATTCTGTACATTGGACACGTGACATGTGTAAAAACATATGCCACATACAAAATTGGGCATGGAATCATTACGGGTGCCATTTTGATTCTTTGTTCCCTTGCCTACATCTTGCAAACAGTAATGTTATTGACCTTCACCTCCTCAAGTTTCGTTGCCATGTCTTCTTTATTTGGGGGAAGGAGCTATTCTTTTGTGACCCCTTCTTTGTGTCTCAGTGGCCAATTAAGACTCCTTTAGCTTCACTAAAGGTTGGTTCCAGAAAGTGATAAAACTGGTTGGAACTAAATATACATTATAATTTTCTTGTAAATCTGCCTCAGTATGGGAACAGGACGGTTATTATATTACATATTTTTGCATTCCTAACCACATGCATAAAAGACATTCAATAAATATGGATCAGCTTACTGTAGCTGTTTGCCTTAAGACTATTGGGATTGTGATTCATAGTTGTGCAATTTTCTGGACAAAAGGACAGAAACTGTCTGTATGGTCTTGTACAGCTCTGGGAGCCTCCTGTATATTAATCAGGACTGACTCTACGTTAGGCCAGACAATTCCCACCCCTGAGGCTTTTTATTTAAGGCATCTTCCCTTCAAAATATATTGTTA